TACCGCATGGGGGGAGACCAGAGGAGAATGCTGGATGTCTTGCTCTTTACCCCTTGAGACAAGGTCTCTTACTGAACCTGGAGTTCTCTTTGTGTTTTTTTTTTTATTGTTTGTTTGTTTTTGTTTTGTTTTTCAGCTAGGCTGGCTGATCTGCAAACTCTAGGGATCTGCCTGTCTCTACCTGCTCAGTGTTAGGTCACAGGCACAAACAGTCACTCCCAGCTTTTCTCATGGAGGCTGGATCTGAATTTAGGCCTCACAATTGCACATCAGTTCTCTCACCCACTGAGTCATCTTCCTGGCCTTTCCTTTAAAGCTAGGAAAAGTACCTGAGAGGACTGTCTCTCTTGTGTTTAATCCAAACGTTTCTGATTTTAAGTCTTTTGCTTCATATTTCAGTTTCCCTACCTAAAGTACATCCACGTTACGAGTTAGATGGTGATGCTAGCATGGCCAAGGTTAGTATTTAACTGAATTATCAGTAGTGGAAGTAAGAAACATATTGTGTCTCTGTGTGACTTAGGGAAATATTTAAAGCTTTATCCATTCCACATTGTTTTACATTCTAGTTTCCTTTGTTGAACTCAGTAAGAGGAAATTCTCTCAATTAAAACATGTTTATATAATGTCAAGAATTGAAATATTTATTCCAGTTATATCTATCTAGCTTTTAGACAGTGGTAATTTATTTACCTGATGGATATGAAAGTCTGGATGCCTTTGTGTAGAAGCTTTCTTACCTTGTCCACTGTTAGTACCAAAGACTACCTTTCTTTTTCACCAGGCAGTGACGGGGGTTGTGTGTTACGCCTGTAGAATTGCCAGTACCTTGCTGCTCTATCAAGAATTAATGCGAAAGGGGATTCGGTGGCTGATGTAAGTAACAGACTGCAGTCTGCAAAGCATTCTTCCCATTGACCTCACTAAGCCAGGGGCTGTCACCACATCACTGACCCTCTGCCCCTGCAGCAGTTAGGGTCACAGCTTGGTTTTGCTACACCAGATTTACTTCACACTCAGTTTGCACAACAGTCAGCATTATTTTGTTGATTTCCTTCAATAACCTAGTGAGACATCTAGGATAAGCAGTCTGAGCTTTAAACCTCACAGCTCTATGGAGTGTACAGTTCTCTTTTAGAGACCTCAATAGGGCTCATTTGCTCTCTCTCTCATTTGCCCTGACACTGATGTAATTAAAGCAGTCTGTTTCCTATGGAATAAGCCCTTCCTCCATTTCCTGTCTTCACACACTTCCCTTTTCAGCAGAGTTATTGGGCTATACACTAGATAATTTGTGCATTTAAAATGTACAAGTCAGGGGCTTCCAGTGTGGCCCAGAGTGATTCAGCCATCCCTACAAAGTTTAGACCATTTCGTCACTCAGACGTTCTGTGCCCAGGAGCTCTTACTTCCCCACCCCAACCTTATACATCACAAATCACCATAGGTTTGCCTGTTGTAGACATTGCATGTACATGGTAGCACACCTATGAGTATATATTCATCTTGACAAGCAGTTTAAACATTTGTTTTGCTAATTATTTTATGGTTATTTTTTTAAGATTTATGTATATAGTGTTCTATAGTTTTTAAGATTTATGTATATAGTATATAGAACACTATGTATATAGTGTTCTGCCTGCAGGCCATAAGAGGGCACCAGATCTCATTAGAGATGGTTGTGAGCCACCATGTAGTTGCTGGGAATTGAATTCAAGACCTCTGGGAGAGTAGCCAGTGCGCTTAACCTCTAAACCATCTCATCGCTTTAATATGGTTATTCTAAAACAGAAAATTAACCTAATGAAGTATTCTCTTTCTGAAAATTACCTTAAGAATACAAGTGTTAGGTTATAGATGTAGTTTAGGTGGTGAATCGCTCACTTTGCACGAAGACTTGAGTTCAACCCTGGAACCCACTTTTGTTTTCTTTTAACAAAGGAGGTGGAGGCACAGTGGCACAGGCTTGTAACCCCCACCACTGAGAAGGCAGGGACAGGTGGGTCCCTCAGCCTTGCTGGAAGATCCTTTTGAAAAAAGAAAATGGGTGGCACTTGAGGAAAGCCACTGGTTGCCCCCTGGCTTCCACCCCAACACACACACACACACACACACACACACACACACACACACACACACACACACCCACACCACCACCCACATGCATACTCACACACAAACACACACACATGCACACGCACACACATATACACACACAAGCATGCCTATGATTTGGGTTTCTTTAAACTTATGGTTTATGAAGGCCATCTTTCCATCTGCTAAGAGTACACGCATCTTCTTTGAAAGCCGTGCTCTCGTGCACATCAGTTGTTAACTGCATTCTGCAGATGTGCAGTATGACCTTCTGCAAAGGACACCAGGGATGCTTTCCTGTACTTACCTCTCGATTTCCTGCCTCTGCCTCCCAAGTGCTGGGACCACAGGCATTTTGCTACCTCAGCTGGTTCTTCATGTTTTAAGTTTCTTTCCTGAGGCTAGTGTTGTGTCAAACAAAGCACACAACCTTGTGCTTGTGACAACTTTCAGCGTGGTCATAGCCTCCCTTTCTAAGCCTGATTTCCTGCCTCTACCAAGAAGCTTTGTGCTGGGAATGGCTTTGTGCTAAAATGGCTTGGTTAGTGCAGGGTGGCATAGTTAGCTCTGGGATGATTCACTACTGGGGTGACTTAGTGCTAGGATGCCTTAGTTAGTGCCAGCATGGCGTAAGTGTCAAAACTGGTTCTTGGTATATCTAGAAGAAATCTAAATGTGCCAAATACAAACAGCATTTGTTTTTCCTGTTTTTCCGTTACTGGTCAGTGGTTCAGTGGTTTTTATTAGTTTTACTTATTATAGCTTAAGTTTAAAAAACCTTTTTCGGGGGCTGGAGAGATGGCTCAGTGGTTAAGACAGTGGCTGTTCTTCCAGAAGACCCAGGTTCTATTCCCACCACCCACATATAGACAGCTCACACCTGTCTATAACTCCAGTTAGTTCCAGGGGACCTAGTATCCTTACTGTACATTAAATAAAGTATTAAAAAAAAATATCAGATTTTCTTTTAAAGGATCCTTCAATATCTTAGGCTTCATTGGCCACATGTAATATCTTCTTTGTCTTTTATTTTAATCTTTCTAAAGTAATCATAGGCCATAAAAGCAGACGTTAGGCCTTGTTTGCTGATCGCTGTTGTAGTTCACAAGCCTTTCCATTAGGTATTATTCACAGTGCCAGCCTCTTCAGAGGTCACATGTGCTGCTGTAAGGAGCAAAATTAGTTCTAATAACATAAATGTTACATAACTTGTGTGATTATAGATTAACTTTTGATCCTTAATGTAATTTTAATGCCTTGTATTTCTAAACTTTAACCTAATTTCGGATGATAGTCTGTGATATGTAAAAGTCATACAAATGCTTTTTCTTTTCTTTTTTTTTTTAATTGAGCCTGCTACAAGAGGGTAACAGGCTGGCTATAGTACCGCTTGGCACAGATATGCTTTTAATAATAGTACTCCAAAATAATGTGATTTGGCATTTAAAATTTTTGAAATGTGTTTGAAGTATAATTTCAGTATAATTGGTGATAGTCCAAAAATAATACTTAACTAATGAAGTAACATTTTTCAGTGAATTGGTTAAGGATGATTACAATGAAACTGTTCACAAGAAGACAGAAGTTGTGATCACGTTGGATTTCTGCATCAGAAACATTGAAAAGACTATGAAAGTGTGAGTAGGTTACCGCCCTAGCAGGGACTGAGCTCTGTCTTAATCATCTCCAGCACGGAGGGCACAGTATGTCGCCTGTTCTGTGCAGCAGCCCTGGTTTCTCATAAGGTGATGGCATTTCCCCCACCTTTTCTGAATGGCAGTAGGAGGTAGGACCATCTCCTCCTATCTTGGGAGGCAGAGCTGAACAGGAACTAAGAGAGTAAGAAGCAGCAGCTGGAACAGCCTCTGGGTAGGTTTTTTTTTTTTTTTTTTTTTTTTTTTGGAAAAACTTTTGGGGGGGGGGGGCACTGAGAATGTTGAGTGGAAAAAGGTGCCCTCTACACAAGTGTGGTAACCCGAGCACTATCTCCAGAACCCCATATGGCTAAAGGAGAGAACCAGCCCCGCAGTTTGCTCTGACCTCCATATGCACGCTGTGGCATACACAGCACACACCCCATGCGTGCACACACACAACGTTAATAAGTTTTAAAAAGCTACAGAATTTTAGCAGTGACTTTTAATTTATTCTTACTATTCTTCTATCTGTGGATGTCTTTTGTAACAATGATAATTTAAATGACCTTTCAGAATACACTATTTGTACTGCAGGGAAAATATAATAAATGCAGTCAAAATGTATAACTGAAGTACACATTTATATCATACATGTATCATGCTAAAATCTGGTATTTTCACCATTGTCCTGGCATAATGTGATTTGAAATTAACTTCCTTCTCTACTTTATCCTAATCTGCACATTTATAATGGAAGTACAGTATGGACTGATTCTTAGTGCATGCATTCCCAGATTCCCAGTAGAAATGCAGGTAGTGTCAGAGCATAATATTGAAGCTGTTTCTTGTCAGTTCATCCTATGACGATGATCACTACTGAGTGACTGGGGGGTGGATGGTATATATAGCTTGGATCCATAGGACAAAGGGGCAGGGTCCATCCTAGGCTGGAAGGAGTAACTGGCATGTGACTTTGTCATACTGCTCAGATTGTATGAAACTTAAAATTTAGGAAATGCTTGTAGAATTTTCCACAAAATGGTCTCTGACCAACATTGACCATTGGCACCTGGAGCCACCTAAAGCAAAAACCGCAGATAGTGAGGTAGCATCTGTGTAGGAAACCCCTTCTTTAGGAAGGCAGCAGAGGGTTCTTGGAATCTCTTGGCATATAAACCTTGAGTAAATTTTTTATTAAATGATTATCATAATAAAATTCACTTCATAAACTATTACAAAAAATATGTATTTGTTACACTCGTTCATTTGCTTTCTGATGATGTGTTTTTCATACAGATATGAAAAATTGATGGAAATCAACTTAGAAGCAGCAGAGTTGGATGAAATTTCAGACATACATACCAAATTGTTGAGAGTAAGTACCAGCAAATCATGAGGGTTACAGGGTGGGCCATGACCTGTTCCTTTGCTGGTAAGAACTAGTGTATAAACTTCCTGAGAAAAGGAAGCTCTCCTCAAGCTCTATGGAGAAGAGAGCTGCCTTTTTCCATTTTTAGAGACTGTGTGTGTGTTGTATGATTATGTCTTATTCTATATGTATTCTTAGCAATATTCTATATATATTCTTAGATATACACACACACACACCATTTCTGCCATTCAGTTCTTTGTTCTATTTCCAAATGCTTCCTGTATTTTTAACACACATGTGACTCTTGTCTCTCCCACCTCCCACCCTACATTTTCTGCATTATTTTTGTTTGCTTTTTTTAAATCCTTAATGCTGTTATGTAATAATGGACATTTATAATGTGGTTCTTTAACATGAAGTCAAATCCTGGTGCTTAAACTTGCTTAGAAATAACTGCAAATCCAGAAACATCAGAGCTCTTTAAAAAGGAACAGATAGAGAGTCCTCAGGCAGTGGGTTATTTCTGAAACTAGAAAAGGCAATAAGGACACAGGTTTGCTGAACACAAAGTGGGAGATTTCACAATAGATTCTTTTTAGTGCAGGAGCCCACACAGCTGTGTACTGTGGGAGCTGATTACCTACTCCCTAGCAGCCTGTTTATCCAGACACTCCTGATGGGCTACATAAGGCTTTTCGAAAAGACTTACATTATTTACAAGTTGTGTATATATATGTGTTGCTCTGTGCATGTGTGTGCAGGTGTCCCTTCCTTGAACCCCCTTGGAGCTGGAGTCGTAGGCAGTTGTGAGCCTCCTGATGTGGGTGCTGGCCCTCTGGAAGAACAGGTGGTGCTTTTCAACCACTGAGCCATCTCTCCAGCCATCATAAGGCCTCTAGTAGTTCTTTGCAGCTTTGGTTTCTCTGTCTCAAAAATGGTGACTTCTTTATCTAAAGCTTCTGGGTTGCTGTAGCAGTTAAATAAAGGTAGAACTATGTGTTCCTACAAGCCTGTAACATTTAAGGTATTCATCAGATGGATGTTAGACTGTAAAGGAGGGCCCACAAGACAGCTCAGCAGATAAAGACACTTGTTGCCAAGCCTAACACCTTGAGTCAATTCCCAGAACCCTAACAAAACACGAATACCAGCTGCATAAATTCTGACCACACATACGCTGTGCCATGTGTGCGCCCATTCTCATACACAGAAAGAAAGAAAAGAAAGAAAATGTAACTTTAAAATATTTTTTTAATTAAGGAAATCTGAGGGTGAGGGGTTGTATAGCTTGGATGGTAGAACCTGAGCTCCATACCCAGAAGCAGTGTGTGGCACACAGTAATCACAGTGCTAGAGAGCTCCCTGGGGCTTATACCACCAACCTCTCAGCCCTTCAGAGAGTTTTGGCCTACTCATGAATGTACCCACTGCACACAAAAACAGGGAACTTGATAGCAGCCTGCTCCTCTTTCCATACTGTGCTGATCTTTAGTCGTTCTTCTCTGTAATTTTAGATCTAGAACAGTGGTTTTCCAAAGGATGAATCATGAACAAGTAATGAGTTGTGAAGTACCATGCTTTGCAGCTGGCAGCATTTTTAAAGAGAATAGAAATGTCAGAAAACGTCACATATTACAAGTCTCTGTCCCGTGAATAAAACTTTCACTTTACTTATCTATGCACTTAAATGATATTTAAAACATTGAAAATTTTAGAAGATAAAGTGATTTAAGAGTCAGAAACAAGGGAAGGAGATAGAGCTCATTGGCTTGAGTGAATGCATAGCATAGAAAATTCTGATTTTAAAATAGCACATATCCCTACCACCACCCCAAAGCAATAACAGAAACCCCAGTGATTGAAAGGGTTTTGTGAGTGTCCTACAGAAGTGAGCAGAGTGGTAGGGACAGCAGGATCAGCCTCACCTGAAAACAGAAAAAACAGCAGTGACCCTTAGAACCTTAGAGCCTCTGGTAATGGATTATGGGTGATGGTTTCCAGTTGGGTGTTCTGACCTAGTCCTTTGTCCTCTTTAGCTTTCCAGCTCTCAGGGAACCATAGAAAGCAGTCTTCAGGACATCAACAGCAGGTTGTCTCCAGGGGGTCTGCTGGCTGATACCTGGGCACATCAGGAAGGCACTCATCCAAGAGACAGAAAGTAGGTTACAGCCTTGGGGTTAATTTCTGTCCCTGTTAATTGTTCTTTGTTGTACCAATTCCCATAACTTACCTGGGTTTTTCTTCCTTCAATAGTGTGGAAAAACTACAAGTCCTGTTAAATTGCATCACAGAGATTTACTATCAGTTCAAAAAAGACAAGGCAGAACGTAGTAAGTAACATTTGCTGTTCGTTCATCTCCCACACCAGCTTATGAGTGTGGTCCAGCTGCCTCACTGTGCTGTGTTTTTTAGTGCGATACTTATGAAAGTGTCAAAAAAAGGTTGAATGTACTAAAAATTATTGTCAAACCAGCCTTTTACATATGTTAAATTAAGGTCATGACTCCTAGATCTTCTGGAGGCCAGGCAGGTAGCACACAGGAATGGCTGTGTGCCTGGGACACTGAAGTCACTGAAATGGGGGCCCCTGCTGTGTCACCACTATGTTGCCCAGGTCTCCCTTTTTAAAGAAAAGCTAGAGATATGTGCTTTATTAAAAATACTCTAACTTAAATATTGACAGTTAATTTATAACTTCATAATAACTAAAAGTGTTCACAGGCCTTATGTAGCCCGTGGGCCCCAAACCTTTTATACCCATGTCAAACTCTTAGCCTTTTTGGAGCAGTAATCTCAAAGGAGAGAATAGCACATGTGATGAGTTCAACTCTCCATTAACAAAAGTATACTTTTTCCATTTTCAGGACTAGCTTACAATGAAGAACAGATCCACAAATTTGATAAGTAAGTATCCAGGTGGAGTTAAAATTGATTCTTTTTGATGCTTGTTTTTGGTATCTTTAATTCTTCTGAAAGTTGGGATTGATTGCAGTGTCCACATGGATGCACATTTTTCAAGCCCACTCATCCAGTCCCCGGTTGGAAGATCCCTGAGACAGGAGGACAGCTGGGAAAAAGGCCCCATTCTGCTCACTCAGCTGTCTCTCTCGATACCTCCGCTGTGCTTACAGAGGGCAGCGAGGAGGAAACAGGAGGCCAGTACAGCCATCCTAACTAACTCTACCAATAGGCATTTGGGGCTGGAGATGGGTAAGAGCTCTAGCTGCTCTTCTGGAGGAGCTGAGTTCAGTGCCCAGCACCCATGTCCGGTGGCTCACAACCACCTGTGTTCCAGCTCCAGCTCCACAATAATTAAAAAACAAAAACAAAAACAAACAAAAAAAAAACATGCATTCTGTGTATTTTAGTGGTTTGTTTTGTATTTTGAGACAGGGTTTCTGTATGTAGCCCTTGCTGTCCTGGAACTCACTCTGTAGACCAGGCTGGCCACCACATCTAGCTTGAAGGTTTTTGTTTGTTTGTTTGGTTGGTTGGTTTTTTCGAGACAGGGTTTCTCTGTGTAGCTTTGGAGCCTATCCTGGCACTCACTCTGTAGACCAGGCTGGCCTGGAACTCACAGAGATCCTCCTGCCTCTGCCTCCCGAGTGCTGGGATTAAAGGCGTGCGCCATCAACTCTTGGCAACTTGAAGTATTTTTAATTGGAGTAGAAATAGTGGGGTTGTGTAAGCCTCTGGTTCTTTCTGATTTGCAGACAAAAACTTTATTACCATGCAACAAAAGCAATGAGCCACTTCACAGAGGAGTGCGTTAAAAAGTATGAAGCTTTTCTGGATACTGCAGACGAGTGGATGCGGTAAGGAGGCTGCAGTGGTGACGAGTGGGGGGCTGTGCAGTATGGTGTGTAGTGCGGTGTGTGCCGTGGCTAAGTGAGTGTCTAAGGCTGCTTGCTAACAGACTCGTTGGTTTTCAGAAAGATGCATCTTCTCAGAAAACAGCTGTTATCTCTAACCAGTCAGTGCTTTGACATCGAAGAGGAAGTGTCCAAGTATCAAGACTACACTAATGAGGTACAGCCAGAGAGCGCACTAGGAAAGAACTTTGTTGTGTGGCAGGACTGAGGCAGTGTGGTTCTGATAACGGTTGCAGGAGACGTGGGACAGCATATGCCTGTGTCGCTCCCACTCTACATTCAAATTCACTGCATTTATTTATTTGTGTGTGAGCGTGTGCATGCCAGAGGACAGCGTGGGGGAGGTGACCTCTCTTCCCCCATGTGGGCTCCAGGGTGGAGCTCAGGTAGGCTGTCCCCGCCCCCCCAGCACACACCCGTGCTGCTGCACCATCTCACCGGCCCTTCACCCGTTTCTGCCTTTTAGACGCTGAACAATTAAAAACACCTCACAATTCATCTTTTATTGTTTATAAGGAAAACTGTTCTAGGGGGCGTTGATTGCAGTACTTAGCACTGATGGTTCTGAAAGGTGGGCTCAGGCTGTAAACCCAGAGTGCATGAGGTTTCCCACGCCCCTGTGGAGTGGATGTGGGGAGTCCGGTTGGCCTTCCTGAAGCTGTAAGTGGTCCTTGATTGGTAGCATGTGCCTTGCCTAGTGACACATTTGCTTTATGTTGTAGTTACAAGAAACTCTGCCTCAGAAGATGCTTGCAGCCTCCAGTGGTGTCAAGCACTCCATGGCCCCAGTCTACCCCAGTTCTAACACTTTAGTGGAGATGACTCTCGGGTAAGCAGCTGTGCTGGAATTGCAATGGTGCTGCTTGCTCTTATCCCAGGTTGAAATCTTGGTCTCAGATTTCAAAATTCTCGATGTTGACTGTGCTTAGTGTTATTTCATGGCTACTTAGATTATAAAACTAAAATGATGTGAATGTTATTCTAAGGGGTTGAATGTCTCTGCTTTATCCCTCTAGTATGAAGAAACTGAAGGAAGAGATGGAAGGCGTGGTTAAGGAGCTGGCTGAGAACAATCATATTCTAGAACGGTGAGTGGTGCTGGTGGGGCTGGTGATGTGGCATGCAGCTGGATCCCTCTGCATTCTTATGGGCTCACTTCTTTCCATCCCCCTTGACTAGTTTGATGGTTTTCACAAGGCTTCCCGTTTCCTTCATCCAGATCTCCCTTCTCCTGAAGCTGCAGTGGTAACCTGCTAATGTGGTTCTGTGTTCACAGCCAGAACAAGCTTCTGATGTACTGGTGTAGTCATGTCTCTCCCTTGCCTTAAAAACTCTAGCCAGGTGTGCTAATACATGTCTTTAATCCCAGCACTATGGAGACAGGGACAAAGGGATCTCTGTGCGCTGGAGGCTAGCCTGATTACATAGCAAGTTCCAGGACAACGAGGTCTACAGAGAGAAATCCTGTCTCCGGGAAAAACTAGAGAAGAAAGAAAAGGGAAAAATATGTAAACCCACATTATCTAGAAAGTACAGTCTAAATCCACATTTCCATTGAGGAAGACAGTGTCTTGGCCCTGGCCTGTGCACCAGCATTGCTGCCTTAACTTCCACAGTTGTCCTTTGACCTCCACGAAAGCACTATGGAGGCTGTTCTGGAACTCTCTCAGTAGACCAGGCTGGCCTTGAACTCACAGAGATCCTCCTGCCTCTGCCTCCCGAGTGCTGGGATTAACAACGCCCAACTTGTTTTTGTTTTTAAGCTTTCCCAAGCCATTGAATTGTACTCCTTCATATAATAATGCCCCTGATTTTCAGTAAGAAATAGAGCAAGTCAAGTTGCTTAAGTTATTTAAAAGTAACTATGCCTAGGCCAGCAAGATGGTACAGCAGGTAAAGTCTCTTGTGCAAGCCTGGCAGCCTGAGTTCAGTCCCCAAAACCCACATTAAAGGTGCAAGGAGAGAACTGACTCCAAAGTTGTCCTCTGACCTCAAGCTGTGTACACATAATAAATAATAATAATAATAATAAATAATAAATAATAATAATCTGCTCCTCTGAGGTCTGTTTCTGTAAGTCTCCTCTGGAGTGTTGGGATGTCAGGAACTGGGATCCAGCTCAATGACAGGGTTCTTGCCCAGTGTGTGCAAGGGTCCTTTATTCAGTCCCCAGACACAGAGGACCCTGAGAACAAAAGCGTGGATGTGCTGAGATTATCTCTTCTCATCTTGTGTTTTAGGTTCGGGGCTTTAACTATGGACGGTGGTCTCCGCAGCGTGGACTGTCTTTAGTGCTCTAGGGACTCTGGGGAGTTGTAGTTTGCACAAGAAGATAACACTGAAGCACGAAATGAACGCTCCTATAGGTGGTTCTTATTTCTACAATTCAGTATTTGATGAGGTCATGTAAATATGTACAGTTTGTAAATACATAAGAAATATATAAATTTTTGGCTGCTGTTGAGATGTAATTTTGCCTTTTAACATTTGTAAGTACACAAGGCAGACCTCAGTGAGCTGTAGAAGAAAGCCATGACCAGCTGATGCTTTGGGATGCTGTCCCCAGTTCTTCAAGCAAGGCTGGAGAAATCTATTGCTCGGTGCCTAAGGAAAGTGTTTTTAAATCAGCATCCTTAAAAATCAGAAAGGACTGATAGTTGACACCTTGTGAACGGTGGAGTGACGGGATTTTGTGGAGAACAGAGCCGACCACTGTTCACCAGGGTCAGCTCCTGTGACAAGGATGAAGTGGCATTATTTCATTTTACAAGGTGCCCAGATTTTGGTTCTCCTCGTATGTTTAGTTTCAGGTGAATTATTGAGCAAAAAATTGAAGTGAACTTATTGTTTAAACTATTCATTTTTCCTTTGGTCATAAATGTGTAATTGTCATTCAGATTCCAGTATCATTTCAATTGTTTTAAGCTGTATATTTCTGTACTTTAATTCTGCTATTTCATGAAATACTCTGCTTACTATTTCATGAAAAAATAAATTTCTGAATTTTAATGTAAGAAGCTTGTGTGTTTTGGTCTCTCTGGTTAGAGAAACAAAATGGGGTGTCACTGTTTGTTTAAACTAGGGAACTGATGGCCCCACCACTGAGCCACCTCTCATCACTGGGCCACACCCTACCACTGGGCCACACCCTACCACTGGACCACACCCCGCCACTGGGCCAGCTGATGCTAAAAGTTCCTATAACATTGTTTAAAAAAATAAACAGTCCTGAAAAAGTCTTCGTTTTTACACATTTCTTAGACTCCTAAGAATTAATCAAATTCTTTTTATCTAGGCAAAGTTCTTGCCAAGGTGAAAAACACACAAATCTGTACCGATTAAAGTTTCTTTATTCAAGAAAACACCAGGGCAAAACACAGGCCAGAGCGAGGTTATAGAACCCAGCAAGCGCAGCCAGAACAAAAAGGGGCTGGGGTCTCCACGAGCCGTCCTTAAGAAGCCTCCCTTACGTCACCTTGGCTTTCCTACACCGCGCCCTTATGGGCGAGTCCCGGGTCCACCTGGTACCTGTCCCAGGGCGGGGCTAGGGTGTCTCCCTACACAAATCAAATGGGATCAGGCTGTGGCACTACGAGGTACATTGTCAGTGCTAAGTCGTGGAGATTGATGGTCAAGGACAGGTCCATTGGATGCTGAGTTTGCGAATATGGATCTTGTCACCCCTCTGAAAAATAATTGATGTAGAAGTCAGGCCTGAATTTGTTACATCTTGGGGAGGTAGTTATACAAGTATGTCAAAAATCCCCCAACCCAATTCTTCATTTTAACTTTGTGAACTGTACCTCAGGGGCATGAGTCTAGGTGGAGTGGCATTGTGGCTAACAGACTTGAGTCCTAGAACCAAGCTGCCTTGATCCATAATCCTGCCCACCACCTCTTGAGGTTCCTCACTCATAGTCCCTGCCTTGTAGGGCTGTCAGAGAAGACTGAGTTGAAAGGGATAGTGCATTTATACATCAGAGCCTTGCACATAACAGTACTCAGTAGGTGTTATCTTCTATTTTTAGTTATAATGATGCATGTAAGAAAGTAGTTCATTTTAAATCCTTTAAAGCCAAATAAATAAATAAAAAATAAAGCCTAGATAGAAATTAAATAGAATTTGATGTTTAGTTCCCCAGACTCCTGTTACTATTTCTGCTAGCTAAAAAGGCCCGGGGTCATAACTGAAAAGAGGACGTTGAAATAAAAAGAACTGGAAAACACAGATGATGGGTTGAAATGACAGGTGTGCAGGGCCCCTCCTCCCAGCCAAACTGCTGCCGACACCATCAGATCAGCTGTGTCTGCTTGAAATCCACCATCACAGCTGGGCTTGTTGACTGGGTGCTCCCTCATAGAGGGACTTAGCCCCTCACCTGACTATCTAGCCATTCCTGCCAACCATCTGTATACAGTTCTGCCCTGATTGCCTGTGGCCTCACGGTCTTAGAGAGGGGCTAGAGGATATGAACTTGAGAAGACTAACTGAAGGGGGCTGGCTCTATCTGTTCAGCATTGGAAGCCACCATCCATACAGGGAAGCCACCATTGTCAATGGGAAGCTGCCATCCATGCTGGGCACACATGGTCCAGTGAGGCCATTTCAATATCACCCATACTCCCACCTTGTAACCCTTCCCCATGCTCTGTAAGTGACCTTCATAAAACTCACTGTTTCTGTAGGGTGAACATCAGTGAAATTGAACTTCGGTTTGTCATTGGGACCTTAGGAGGAGGAACGGGTTGATGTTTTGTAGTCCCCCCTACCAAGGATGAAAATTCTCAAGACAGATGTAGGTACAACCTCTGTGTGGTGGTTTGAATAGGTATGGCCCCCATAGACTCATATGTTTGAATGCTTGGTCTTTAGGGAGTGACACTATTAGAAGGTGTGGCCTTCTTGGAGTAGGTGTGGTCTCTAAGAGGAAATGTGTCACTGGGGGTGGGTTTTGAGGTTTCAAATGCTCAATTCAGACCCAATGTCACTCTCTTCCTTCCACCTGTGGATCCAGATGTAGAATTCTCAGCTACCTCTCCAGCACCATGTCTGCCTGCATGCCACCATGCTTCCCTCCAGGACAACAATGCATTAAACTCCGAACTGTAAGCCAGCCCCAATTAAATGTTTTCATTTGTAAGAGTTGCTGTGGTCATGGTGTTTCTTCACAGCAATAGAAATGCTAACTAAGACCCTCTGGGGGGTCTATTTTAAAATCTTAGAATAGAGAGAGATGTTCAAGTATCTACAGGCTCCAAGGAGCTAGAGATAGGTTTCTTCCGAGTAAGGGAAATTGGTATCAAGTGGTTAAACAGGACTCCCAAAGGCTCCAGGTGTAGTTTTCTGAAGAAAGAGGTTTGCAAACAGGGAGAAGGGCCGTGGATTAAGCCGTGTGCTGAAGGTGGCTTGCAGGGACAGTCATAGAAGTCTGAAGACTGGGACAAGCTCCCTAGAATGGTCTATCTGGGTGCAAAGACTTAGACTTCCACAGTCCCAAGATCTAGGCTCCATGTCACTCTGTCTGCCACACTGAAGAGACTTCTGACATTTGTTACCAACCCCATAGTAATGGGAGTTGTGCCTCTGTGCCAGCTATGGGGCCACGTAACAGGGAGAGGAAGTTAGGGCTAGCAGGACTGAGGGACGACCTCCAATGGGGATTTTGTCTTACCCATTGGAAAAGGACAAGGAGAAAAAGGGTACAAGTTCTCCAGGAGGCTGAGGTCAGGGTGTCAATCCAGGTATGACATTCCTGCTCTTCTCCTCCACACCCAGCAGTATGTCCTCAGTCCTGGGAGATACACTAATGACACAAAGGCCTTAGAAGTAGCAAATCTTCCTAGACTTTAGACCTGATGTTAGGAAATCTCTTTTAATGTTGACAAACTTTTCAATTTTTTTGAGGCAGTGTTTTTCTGTGTAGCCCTGACTATCCTGAAACTCGCTCTGTAGACCAGGCTGGCCTCGAAATCAGAGATCCACTTGCCTCTGTTTCCCCGAGTGCTGGGATTAAAGGAGTGCACCACCACCACTTGATGTTGACGGTCGTAACCTGTGATAGGATGCTGAAAAATGACTTGTGGATCCTGTATCATGTACACAGAAACAAACCATAGTACTTCCTCCTTCCACGAACCTTCTTGCCTGTTTTTTGTGGCATCCTCGCCACCGTTTACATAGCTGTCATAGTCTGTACTGACTATGTGACTAGCATGGTGGCATTGCACACAGACTCTTAAAGTCCAATAGCAAGTCTTTTGTAGGCAGCTGGTGGCTGCCCAGGGAACTTGCCCAAATCATGCAGCACCAAGCCATACCGTTCTTGGGTTTTAAAGCATGAAAACTACATTTCGGTTGACATACTTTGATTAGCAAGAACAGTTAGCAGGAAGCTGACCTAAAAAAGCTGAAAAGCAAAGTTAGTACATTTTGGGGCTTTCCTAGCCCAACGTGCTGATCAGTCAGCCTAGCCAAATTGGGAACTTTCAGGTTTAGCGAAAAGTTCCACTGGAAAAAATAGGGTGGAGAGCAACTGAAGAAGACACCTAATGCCAACGTCTGGCCTTCACACACACTTACACATGAACAGTATGCATATGTACACCACATGCACACACACAAAACTAGAGCTGGAGGTGTAGCTCGGTGGTAAGGCATATGCACAGCATGTGTGAGTCCTGCAGTTCAGTCCGTAGCATCACACTAGAGACATCCAACAAAATAATAAACTTTCTGGAAGTCCAAGAAGCATGCAAATTATTAAACACCCTTGGAGATGCCCTGTGCATTGTTCTCCAGACAGATGTGGGAAGAGACTAAAGGAGGCCACCACTGAAAATGCCACAGACCCCCATGGTGAGGAGGGGTCTTCAGGCACAGAACCAAACTGATTCACTGCCCCTGCCTTCCCCTCTCCCCTTTGTCTTTCTCCCTTCCTCCACCCTCCCTTGGCATATAAAATAAAAAGCGGAAATTTAGTAGTTTCTGATGTCAAACTCACTGGGCTCCTGCTGAGGGACATGGGGGGCGAGGGAGGGGGCATTGACAGGGGTCCAACTTCAATGTCCCTTATAGCCACTAGGCACTGCCACTATGGTGGGCCCTGGAGATGAAATGCATGAGTAAAATGTTTAATTCCTTGTTGTTGCCCCCCACCTTCCCAGCACGCTCAGTGTACACATGGCAGCATAGAAACATGACACACGTTCTAACCCCAGGTTCTTGACATTAGCCATTTTGAAGTTGCCAACTGTCTTAATTAGGGTTTTTATTGCTGCTACGAAACACCATGACCAAAGCAACTTGGGGAGGAAAGGGGGGTGTTTGGTTTATACTTCCATACCACTGTTCATCATCAAAGGAGGTCAGGATAGGATCCTGGAGGCAGGAACTGATGTGGAGGCCCCAGAGGGGTACTGCTTTACTGGCTTGCTTCCCATGGCTTGCTCAGCCTGCTTTCTTATAGAACTCAGAACCACCAGCCCAGATTGGCTCCACCAACTATGGGCTGGGCCCTCTTCCACTGATCACTAATTAAGAAAATGATCTACAGCAGATCTTATGAAAGCATTTTTTTTCTTTCTTTCCTCCCTCCCTCTCTCTCTTTCTCTCTCTTTCCTTCCTCCCTTCCTTTCTTCCTTCCTTTCTCTTTTTGGTTTTCGGAGGCAGGGTTTTTCTGTATAGCTTTGGAGCTTGTCCTGGAACTTGCTCTGTAGACCAGGCTGGTCTAGAACTCACAGAGATCCTTCTGCCTCTGCCTCCCAAGTGCTGGGATTAAAGGCGTGCGCCACCAACGCCCTGCTGGAGGCATTTTCTTAATTGAGGATCCCTCTTTCAGGTGACTTTAGCTTGTGTCAAGAAACATAAACATAGCCAGTGCACCAACTCTCAAGTGGTGGGTACCATCTTGAATTCTTAGGGTTTTAGCCAGGATGATTGAGGGTTTTTGTTTGTTTGTTTTGTTTGTATTTGGGTGTTGTTGTTGTTTTGTGATAATGACTGTGGAAGTTGTGG